GCCCCCCCCCCCCCTTGGCGACGCCCTTGAGTGGAGATGTGTATAAATAGTGCAGTTCAAATATTTGTGATAAAATTTAAATTTACCATTCAATTTTGTTTTGCTTTATCTGTGGCGTTTTGTTCGTTGCTCTTGTTTTTGTTATGTAAATAAAGGTTGTTGACTTAAAAAGTATTAAAAACAAAAAATATTAAATTAATTTATAGAAAAAATTCAATTTTTCACATAGCTACTTGATTTTCATTTAAATTATAATTATATTCAATATCCTAGTTATTTATTTATGAAAACCCCATAAATTGTACATCTTTATAATAGTGGAGTCAAGATAGCTTAAAATTATGCATTATTTCGAAATAATTATGGGATTAAGGGAAGCATGGATTTTCCTAAAACCTTTTGAAATTACTTGGAGATAAGTATTAGAAAAAAGTTATAAACTTATTTTTGTACGCTAATTGTTTCTTACTTGTTTAAACAATAATAAATATTTTTTTTAAGAACATTTAAAATAATTCAATGAATTTTAAATCAAACTCGCTTATATTTGTAATATAGGGGTTTTTGACGTCGCTAAACAAGAATATGATTTCAAAAAAGGAAAATTTAAAATGGCTGATCCAATATGGCCGACTATTTTAAACAATTTATTTAACAATAAATTTCACGGATTTTTCATGAAATATTTTTATTTTTTATTTTTTGTTTTTTCAACTATTATTTCAATTTTATAAGAAAAATAAAATGGCCTATTATTTTGCAGTTTGTATTGACAGGTACTTTTACTGCACTCTAACGATGCCAAAGTATTGATAAATGTTTTCTGAATTGTCATTAATTGTTATAGAGCTGTCTGTTTCAAACAATATAACAAGTAACGCCAGAGATGGTAGGTACGCAACTCCGTTCGAACTGTAGCACAATGTGCTGAAGCATGTTTAGCAGCAGGTGGTGGAAATTTTGAACAATTCGTTTGTCATAATTGTTTATCAAATGATTAAAAATTGAAAATTTTTATTATTTTTGATATAAAACTGCCGTATCTCGAAAAATATCGGTCTGAAAAATGATAGAGACATTTTTTTATGACCTTATCTAGCATATGATCCCAGAGTCGGTGTCCGCGAATTTCGTAACAAGTTTATCAAGTTTAAAGACATAAAATTTTGATAGCCGGATGACTCTTCTTTCATTTAAATTTCTGTGGGGTCGATTTGATCAATTAGATCAAAAGTTATAACAAATTTAGTGTAGCGCGCTCGGGGCCGCTCGCACTTCGAGAGCTATACTTGGGGTCCGCCTGTCTCATTTTTCGTACATTAGAAAAAAAAAAATTCTACAGCCCTCAATTCACATTCTAGAAAAAAACTTTATTTACATTTTTTATGTAAAATTTCCTGTTCTTTCGAATGATGCAATTAATTTTTTTTATATATTTTGCAAAAACTGTAATTTTGTAACTAATTTGTTAAATAAATAATTTAGCGTACACTCTACAGTTCCTAACTTTTTGTATGTTGTTTCTGACTTTACAAAGCGAAAAAAAAATAAAATTTCTCTCTTCCCGTAATTTTCGCGAAGTAAAAATCTATCTTGACTCCACTATAAAGAGAATTTTCCTTTTCTTCTGAGACAAAAATTCAATTTGGCATCTATGACAAAAAACAAAGTTAACTACCGTTCACTACACATTTTTAGAGATATGTTAATACTGGCAGCAAAATCGATTCCTCACAACATTTTATATCAGACTACACATTTTTGTCATAAATTTTTGAAAAACGAGTGAAATACAACTAAAAAAAGAAATATCATAAAATCGGTTTCCTTCAAATATCTTAGGAATTTTATAAATGTAAAAAGGAATCCGTGATTTGCATAAAATTGTGCACATTTTTATTCATTTAACTATTTCTGTATCTCTTAAAATAAGAAAGATACCTGTATTAGAAAATTAAAAAGTTGTAACCGAATGCAACTTCCTGTGACAATATGATACAAAGTTTGTTTAGTACTTCTTTTCTTAAGAATTTTCAGAATTTTAGTAATCACACATAAAAAACAGCAAACAATTCCAAGACACTTTATTAAATTAGATATAAACAATAACATCTTCACAACACAGAATACCTGTTAACAAGATAAATAATAAAATTAAATTATCCGAAGATTACATCACATAATAAAATTACAATAAATTATTGCAATTACACAACTTATCACTGAAACGATAATGCATAATTAAATACTTTATGAACAACGGTTTCATCGTCACTCAAAAAAAGGGCTTGCGGTATGTGGTCAATCAGTCTTTAGTCGGTCCCAAAATACTTTTGGCCAAAGTGATTCGGAGCTACTGGATGGACTTCGGAGGTGGAAATTTTCATCTGAAATAAAACTCACGTAGTTATGCCGGTACAAATATGATAAACAGCAATTATTACCCTTGGATATGACTCCAATACCGCCTGCACGGCTTGTGGTGTGCAGAACAAGTTACTTAAAATAATACATTCTTCTTTCACTCCGTGCTCTTTTAGGACGTTTACCGCTTTGCTCACTGTATTTCCAGTAGACATTATGGGATACATCAATAAAACCTGTGAAAAGAGAACAATTTCAAGGTTTCCTGTAAAGTTACTTAGATCACTTTTGTCACATTTTTTAAAACGATCACTAAAGTCACTTTTTTGCAAAAGGCATACGCAAATAGTCACTTTTGGGTAATTTTCTCCCTAGGAATTGCCACTATCAATATCTCGGAAGGTGCTGATCGGATAAATCTGAAAATGTGGCAACCTAGCAAATGCAGTAGGGCCAACACAATTAAAATATTTAGAAATTTATGGCACTTCCGATTATACCGGAATTCAACATTTACTTTCTATTTTAAATAGGACCCCCTATATCAAGGGTTGGCAACTGGCGGACCGTGGTCCAGGTTCGGACCGCGGAAGGTAAAATACTGGACTGCCAAAAATTTGTTTAAAGTATAAATTGCTCAAATATATTATTTAAAATATGTTTTTTACGTTTAAGTGCCAATCTCATCATTTTTTCTAGTATTTTACAATTGTGTGTGTGTTTTGAGTTCTTAATGGTTAGTAAGCAGATTAAATTTGAGTCCAAATTAAAACAAAAAATAAGAAATGTGAATTTTTTTCTGGACCTCGTTAAAAATTTTCAAAAGTATCCGGACCCCACCTAAAATTACTTGCCGACCCCTGCCCTATATATTACTGCATTTTCGGATTCTACGTGAAATTTGAGGGTCATTTTATTAAATATTCACTATATCTAGGAGTTATAGATCTTGAGATATTAATTTTGAAATAAAAAATTTGGCAGACGCAAGGGTTCGCGGAGATGCTGTAACTCTTTTCAAGAGCGTGATATCAACTGGAATTTTGGTAACTGTAAAGAGCATAGATAACACAAATTGTAAATCATGGTATACCAGCAAATTAAAACATTTAATATTAGGTGTTTAATTTTTGCTGTTACATTTTGATAACTTCAAACAACTATAACTTTGTTTACTTAAATGGAGCACTCTGTATTTTACTCTGTCGTACGTGGATTGAAATTCCTTTCTAGCCATATAAACATTGTTAGGCTTGCCATTACTACTTTTAGAGATACCTAGTTGCAATTTTCTATTTTTTGGACAGTTTTTCTCATATCAGACCTATTATCAAAGTGGCCATGACAAGAAACACACCAAAAACAATTACAATAATTTGATATTTGTCAAATTATTGTTTTGTCTGTAATAGTTTTTGCCGAAAACTTAAATAAAAATGCCTGGGCATCGTTTAAGAGAATTTGCTGCTCGATATCCAGAAAAACGAAGACCTTCATGAAATACATGAAGGCAATTTGTGGACAATGTTAAAAGCTGTGTAAAACTTACGCAGAATTAAAAAAATCTGAAAATGTAATAATATATAGGGTGTCCCATTTAAATAAGAAAGTTAATGTCGATTTCTGGTATAACCGTGAGTGCCATAAAGTTCAATATATTTTAGGTGTGTTGGCCCTACTGCCTTTGCTAGGTTGCCAAATTTTCGGATTTATCGAATCAATTCTTTCCGAGATATCGATAGTGGCTCTTCCTGGTGGGACACCCTGTATACAAAAATCCAAAGTCATTTTTATACCGGGTAGGTCATTTTGATGAGGCACGTATTGGGTTCTCAGAAACTACATAGAAAAACGATTAAAAGAGGAAGTTGTTCAGGTTTTCGAATTAATTTAAAACAAAAAGAGACAAATTATTTGTAGATCTGAAAAAACTTTGGACCAAATGAAAATTAGTTTATCTTAAAAATGGTGCATCCTATGGATACCCTTTTTTCAGTAACATGTCTGCAGATTCTAAGTGTAGTAGTATCTTTTTTTTATTTTATTCAGTGTCAAAGTTCACTGAAACTATACTTGGTGACAGTGTTCCAGTATATTTTCTATCATATAAATTTAGAATACCACGGTAATATAGATTTCCGAAATAGTGCTAAAACTAGGTTTAATTTTTTTAACTTCATCATCCTGTATCTTGAAATTGAAACATTTATTGACAAATTTATATTTGAATTACTACCATTAATTTTCTACGTAGAATTTGCTGGTAAAATTTGATTCATTCCAATAGTGACAATATTAAACAGTACATATTTCATGCATTTAATGTGAATTTAAACAATTGTTATAAACAAATAACTGCCCTTTTTTTCGTAAAAAATTTAACGTTTTACTTCAAACACTTGCCAATTTTACAAAAAACAATATTTTTACAATCCGGTATGTGTTTCTCTAGCTATACTCATGTAAATTAAGGGCAATTTTTCTTTTGTTCCACCTTGAAACTTGCACTAGTTCTACTGCGTGCCACAGAAAGCCTTGACGGCAACATGCTTTAGGAGAACGGCTCCAGTGCCCCCATTTTGAAATATTTTTTAAAGAAAAAAGTTTTCTGTACACTTAATACATGCCTAATAACATACTTAAGTTTTTTCTATTACCTTTCCTTCTATTAAAAAAAAATTGTCAAAAACACACTTTTTTTTGGCCGTTACAGTAGTGTAACCCCTTAAGCATTAATCAATCGGCATATGTTTTGGCTAAATAACATTTCTAATTAAAAAATGTACAGTGTATTTTAACATTTGCAAATATAAGGACTTACATATCTCTTTGCTATGTCCTCTGGAAATCGAGCATAGACAACCCTCGCCTCATGTGTATCGGCGTCTGATTCGACTAGAATTTTTCCTATCCTAATACTGCGGCAACAATCTCGCAAGCCCTGTTCCATTGATTCTCCCGATCTCACTATGGACACACCGCAATTACCCGATCTGTACTTCAAACCGTTATACGTGGCTCCTGTTGGCGTAATAACCTTACAATCGGTGAACGGAAGCTGGTTTAAGCTATCTTCGATGACTAGACGGATCAGACGATCCGCGTAGAATTTGAAGTCACTTCTGGAGGTATTTCTAAAAAATTCTAATGTAACATCATCCTTAAACAAAGCATCGAGTCGATATCAACGTACTTGTCTCTTAATATTGTTTGCAGTTCTTTGATTTGTTGATGTGCATGTAAGAGTTGCAGGCCTTTGTACTGTTTACACAAATCATAACCATAGTTTATTTCGATGTCTTGAGTGCCCATTTTAGCCTCCGCGTGTTTTAAACAGTACGAAGTACCTGGAAAAGTGAGGTTAGATGTACCAAACATCAGCATGATTTTCATGTAAAAATGGTTACGTGTTGTGTGCCATTTTATGTTTTTGTGTTTTAAAAAGGATTTCATAAATCTATGAATACATATATTTACCTGGTTGACGGTAAGTGAACTAGTCAGTTGAATGAATTGTTGATAAAGTTGTAAAAAGTTTGCAAGAGCAAGTAAAGCTAAGGTTTGAGGTTATTTTGCCGCTGGCTTGTTGACAATGACAATTGCACTGACGTATGCGTTCCAGCAGCTCTCAAACAATTTATAAACCAGGGCGCTGAAGTAGTTCCCAAAATGTTGATGTCTCATTTTTTAGAAGAAATATACAGAGAGGTCCAGATTGATTGAAGCGTTTGGGGAACGCAGCCTGTTTCTAACATCATCTTTAGCATATAAAAATCTGTAGTTTTGACAGAGACAGGCACAGGCTGCGATCTCCAAACACTTCAATCATTCTGGATCTCTTCGTATAATTGAAGTAACTAAATGTAGTTTCATAATATTAATATAGTTGTTACTATATTTTCAGTAAGAAATTAAAAGATTGATTTTTAATCGTGGCAGAACCACTGCCGTTGTTTTATTGATTGACAATTTATTATCAACTTGTCTATTGTTTATAGTTCTAGTCGTATTATAATGAATATTTGTGGTATCAGTATCATTGCATTCTTTACTATGTCACGTGGTTGTTTGCAGAAAGAAATGGGACGTACAAGGCGATTGCGATTGAAGCGAAAACATTCAGTAAGATCTCTAAATATGGACAATGAATTGACCACAATAAATTTAACGAAGTGGCTAGTCGACAACAACTGGCGAAACGATACAAATTTGAGGTTAAGAGGCTTCCCTGAAACAGGGCGAGGAGTGACGTCATCAAGACAAATTAAAGAAAACGACATTTTAATTGCAGTGCCTTGCGATCTAATGATAACGTACAATACCCTTCAGGAAAACCTGCAGGAAATGATATCACCCCGGAGTCACGGACTAAAAATACACGATTTGCTAACGCTTTTCTTAATGAACGAAAAACGGAAGGACAAGTCGTTATGGAGAGCGTACATGGACAGTTTACCTTCGGAGTTGCCCCTTTTGCCCTGGTTAGCGCCTACAAGGGAAATAAACTTGTACCCCTTAGATCTGCGGATAATTAGCGAGAAAACCCATGAAACTTTCACAGAAAGCATGTCCAGGGTGAAAAAATCGATAAGTAAAGTCGACGGTTGCGTGTTTGATGAGAATTTATTCAAATGGGGATACGTTTTGGTCAATACAAGGGCAGTATATTTTGATCCTAAAATTGTTAAATCAAACCAACAACTTTTAGAGAACGTATTAATAGACCAACCTTCTATGGCCTTGTGTCCTTTCCTAGACATGTTTAACCATCATTTCCTGGCTATGACAGAAGCAGAAGCAGTAGAAAAGGAAGGAAAGCTGGTTTACCGACTTAAAACTTTTACTGAATATAAAAGATATGATCAAATTTTCATATCTTACGGGTCTCATGACAACATCAAGTTGCTTATGGAATACGGATTTTTCATCCCTGGAAACAATTTAGATGTTGTTGTGTATGATTTACAAAACCTCTTGGATGTATTTAGTCCGAATCTAGACCAAAAACGTTATAAATTTATTATGGATCATGGTTTTAATAGTGACTTGTATATTGGATATCTGGGAATTTCTTTTAATTTAAAAGCCGTTCTTTTTGTATTTTTTTGCGAACAGATACAGGATTATAGTGCGGTCATTTTTAGTGATATTTATCCGGAAGATTTTCTATTAACTATGAGTGGGTGGATTTTGGAACTTTTGGACTACAAGTTGACAATTTTTGAGAGTGATTACAACAAGTTGAAAGACTGTGGCCTCGCCAAGAGTGGAAATGCCAAACTTATGGAAGATTTTCTTAAGTACAGGACAGTTCTTGTAAATGATTTAAGGAATAAACTTTGTATTCAGTAATTTTTTTTATTTCTAAATTAAAGAGTGACCAGGAGATTTGGTAGAGGTCAAAAAATTGTAATAAATAATATATTTATTGCTTTCAACATGTACAATTTTATAAACAATATATATATGGGTAAAATAAAAATATAATTTTAAGTAGAGTGCATCTAGTAGATTTAAAAATATGTACCTCTTCTAGAATTTTTTTAAATGTCCCATCTCCTGAAAATTAAAAAGTAAAGTTAAAAGTGGGAAGGAAATATGTCGTATTTTTTTGGAAACAACTATCTGGTTAAAGTATATCTGTTGAAAACTAACAATACAATATGCAAATATTTATTCACAGGTGTTATCAGTGAATTTTATAAAAATCCAATGCTTTTATCTATGGTAGAGACAAAAATAATATTTCACTCCTGAAACCTGAAATGAGCAAATCTTCTCAAATTGATGATATTGCAGGAAACGACTAGTCTAGGGACTAATGCCCTGACCGGCATTGAATTACGCTGGCAATATCTAGTAAATACCCACCAGACATATTCCAGTTTCGAACTTATTATAGTACTCATGAGTATTATACCATAGTTGAGAGTACATACCAATGATTCAGCTATTTTTGGCGTCTTAAGTACAGAAATTGGGTGAGTGTAGGTGAGACGTAAATGCTAATCAAGGAATGGCCACTGCTACTCAATGCATGGACCTTCAAACGATCAAACTGGCAGAGTTTTGGTTCCATGCATATCATATGCATTCATATACAAACAGAAAACTAAATTGCGTCGTCCAGATTTAATAACCAAACATTCGGGCCCTTCCGGATTTAATCAGGGGTGGCTGTGGATCGTCGCGTGACGGAGCGGGTGTACGCAGCCGGCCGATTAGTCGTGCCGACACAGGTGTCTTCGGAGGGCCGATTCTTCACGCCAGTACGCCCTTGGCTTAGCGGTGGTGTTTAGTTTGGAGGACAGTGGTTCCTGCTCTGATAGTCCGGCAGCTATGGGTCAGAATTCTCATACGTCGATGGAAGCACGAACAAAATACTCTTTAAGTCTGTTCATTACTGTTGCTTGAAGCAGATATAAACAGTAAAAGCACCACGAGAACGCTGTGATGATGATGAATAGCTGATAAGTCTATGTCTGGTGTTTCTGCTGACGAAGGTTATTACCTATCTATTAGTTAAAAAGTTTATTTCGCCTGGTGCGAAAGCCTAGAGATTAGTAGTCGCTCTCTGCCAGTAGACACAATGTAATACTTTATGCCAGTAGGCATTTTTAGTATCATTAACAGTTAAGATATGGTAGAATTTGTACGTATTTTAACTTATTTGTTTGTATCTCACAGCTCGCCGATTTCTTGATTGATTTCGGAGGTTGAGTAATAATCATCTCAACTTATGTATTTGTTACGCCGATTTTGCTTCTATTGCTTCTAAATTATGTCAACTGTCGAAACAATCTAATTGTAAATTCAGTTACTCTGTGTCGAGCAACACAAATGAACAAACCTATTATAAGTTCAACATTTGCTAGTATGAATTATGCAGTTTTTTATAAATATTTCGTCTCAGTATTTGACTTTACGTCTACAGCACTTGGTGATTTAACAATTTTCTATCTAACATGATACAGAAGTCTATTTTTGCAATATATTCAGTTATATAATGTATTTTTGATGCAATACTAATGAAGGAATTAATTTAAAACCAAGTTGATAATATGTATTCCTAATGGAAATATCTAATAATCATCTGACCATAATGTATAAGTGTAGTCATAACTATAGAAAAAAAATTAGATGGTGTAATCTGTCAAAGTAATATGGCGTGGTCCCTAAAACCCGCTGGAAAACAGCAAACATAATCCTTATCCCAAAACCCAACAAAGATCATACCATCCCATCCAACTACCGGCCCATTAGCCTGCTCCCGGCTATGAGCAAAGTGGTAGAAAAAATTATCCTAACCCGTCTAAGAACCCACTCCCAAGAACTGCAAGTCATTCCAGACGAGCAGTTCGCCTTCCGACCCAATCACTCCACTGAACTCCAAATCCTTCGCCTTACCGAGCACATCACGGCGGCCTTCAACAGGGGACAGTACACTGGTGCTGTCTTCCTGGACGTCGCAAAGGCCTTCGATACGGTTTGGCATGAAGGCCTACTGATGAAAATGCTCACCAACCAATATCCCATATCCTTTACCAAACTCATAAAATCCTACCTACACCACCGAAAATTCCGCATCCAAATCCAAGATTCCCTTTCCACCACCCGTCCCATGGAGGCCGGTGTCCCCCAGGGCACCGTCCTGTCCCCACACCTATACACCATTTACAACTCCGACATCCCACATCCCCCCAACACCAACATATACTTATACGCCGACGACCTGACAATCACATCCCAATCCGTAGATCCTAGATATTCCGTCTCCCTCCTCCAAAACTCCTTAGACCAACTTGAAACCTGGTGCAACAGGTGGAAAGTCAAAATTAATCCCAACAAAAGTTCGGCTATCCTTTTTACCAAACGAAAAATCCCACAAAACCTCGACAGACTGACACTATCCCAGGAACCTATCTCCTGGAATCGACAAACACGATACCTGGGCGTGACGATGGACCAGCGTCTCACGTGGAAACCGCACATCGTGGAGACGGTGGCGCGAGCGAAGACCACCAGGGCTAGGCTCTATCCCTTACTCAAAGGTGGAAACACCCTCAGTTTAAGGAATAAGCGAACGCTTATCAAGGTGGTACTTCAACCGCAGCTAACCTACGCCTCCACGGCGTGGGGTCACGCGGCAAAAAGCCACTTAAAGTCATTACAGGCTGTGGAAAACATAGCCCTCCGCACGGCCACCGACGCGCCCTGGTACGTAAGAAACACTGACATATTACGAGACTTACAATACACAAACGCTACACAGACAATAAGACAAAACGCGGAGAAACGATTTGACGTAGCCGCTAGACATGACAATCCCCTCCTCAGGCAAGCCGTTGACTACGTACCCGACGTGACCGACAAACACAAAAGACCTAGACACCAACTTTTTGACCCTGGGTGACCACCCCAATGACCCCCCCCCTGCCCGCTAACCTTTTCTGTTTCAGAGACAGCCAGGATCAAGAAACGAAGACAACGACACACACACACACACATACACACCCCCCATACCCTCCTTACCCCTCCCCTCCCGCGCTAGCCTAAGGGCCACCTTAGCAAAGCGCATCCCAGGCTGCATAGCCGCACTACCCTACCCAACCATACCACACATAAACATGACACTACCCCCGGGGTTTACACAGACGAGCCGGCGAAGCAAGAAGAGCGCCAGAAGAAAGGGCCCTAGCCGGCGGGGCCCAGCCAGGACAAAAGGAGGTCCCACAAAGCGCCTACACCGGCCGCATTTGCGGTCGGGGTAGACGACGGATGGGGCCCACCTACGAAGGCTGTCCAGGCCTACACGAGATGAGGCAGGATAAAGAGGGATAATCCCCCTCGATCCCAAATCATTGAGGCCAATTTCTAGACATGGAATAATGGCGGGGTTCCTAAAAATGACCGCAGAATTTCAGCCAATGTGAAGTAAATGAGAAACTGAATCGTTGACTATTTGAAACTTAAACAAAGTGTGAATTTTAAAATACTATTCGATATATGACAGACCAAACTAGATTTGTCAGTAAAAATTTACGAAAAGCAGGTGACAAAGTTTGTGACCATTCTAGGTTCGTCATGAATTTGTGGTCACCAGTTGTATTCAGCTAACGCAGTCTACATTTTTTTTATATCTGTGGTTACAGTGTACGCTTTCTGCTGCTAACTTTGTACTTTACATTCTTTAAATTATTGGACTTTTCTCTTTGATATTAAAGGTTTTTTGGCGAGAAAACCGCTAACCCGGTTAACTATAGTTTGTTGCGGTTTGCCGTTTTGGCGAGAAATGTTGTTAACCCGGTTTGGCAGAGTTTGCCTAACCATCAAACCGGGCTTGTGGGTTGGTTTGGATCTTAAGTTAATATTTCTATCTTTGTTTATGTATTTTCTGTTTCGTACCTAGTAGTCACTACTTCGTTTTTTTAGAGGTTTGGATAGGTTAAGTTGTAAATAAAAAAATTTGGTAATGGATTCACTGCAAAAAATACAAAGTAATATTTGAAATTGATAATAAAAAAATAGTAATCGAGGATCCAAAAAACTTTAATCGTTTATTAGATGGTAAATATGCATTTTATATATTGTACTGTATAGATCTTTATTAACTTCCTTTTAGACGATACATTTGCGTTTGAATAGATAATATTTGTGAACAAGGTAAACCCATTTTGATTTAATAACCATACATTAACGTTCTTTCATGGATCTGCATTTCAGATTAGGAATAACAACTATAGTATATAAGAAATAATTAAACAACTTGAGCTACGAGCACTATCATAGATTATAGGTTACGATTTCATTATTGATTAGATATCCAAACCAAAAGAATTTTTGCGAGTTCTGTCAAATGTTAACTCAAACTCTTAACACAATCAAACTCGAGCTAACCGGGTTTGATGTGGTTTGGCTCGCCAAAAAACCCTTATTATATAGTTTGACTAATCAAAAGCAATATTTATGTGTTTAGAGTGGTGGATTATGAATTTGATGTATTTGGTTTGCTACCATATTTTCTCTAGACATTTATCTTTTTTAGAATAGGATCGTATTTATTTCCATACTACTTTGTTATTAGATTTACTACCAACCATGCGCAGTACGCTTGTTTTATTCAACGGTTTCCTAACTTTCGCCCATAACCTAATATATATTTTTCTTAACTTTCATCACCTCTTTATCTTTAAAAAAAATATATATTTCTATTTAAATAGATATCAAAATAACATAGTTTTATGATTATATCTCATATTCTTTTACAAGTAATTCCGAATATATGTCTACATCAAACAAAACTATAATTTTGGGGTTATGTTACAGTTCACCCACACCAAAATATCGAAGTTTGATGTAAACTGACAACTACTGGTTTCTTTTGACTAGATTAAGCGTAAATATAAAAAGGAAAAGTTAACCTGTCCTTTGTAGGCGTTTATTGCTGAAATTTAAATTTGAGCGCCCTTTACCGGTACTAAATGAAAGAAGAAGAAGAAGAAAGAGTCCAAATATTGTGTTGTCTGGTCAATCTATTATATATTATGCTTTATGGAAGAAGTGAGGTTATGCATAATTTGTTATGTGTTTTATATGAAAGAAATAAAATAAGAACATTAGCAAAAAAGTCAAGAAGTTATTTGTTAATCTTAAAATCAAATATGTCACATCTGTTTCACTTTCTAGTTATCCATTGAAACAAACGCCTACATTTTTTAAATCCATTGCACTATTTGACGTTCTGCTCCCTGACTATAGCGCACAGAAACCGCAGCCGTGAAACACTTGCCAAATGACGGGGTGTTACGTTACACTTAATAAAGAAACTGTGACAGCAATAGCGGCAGAGGTGCATTCATATTGTGATATAATATGTTTTGAATGGCCTTTATTAGAAAGGCATTTGGATATCTGCACCACTGCCTCGCTATAGGGGTGACAAATTCGTGATTCGTGACAAAAACCGCAGGCTGGGAGGAATAGGTGCGGGAGAAACACGATGGTGTCCGAAAAATTATGTACAGGGTGTCCGGAAGCGAACAGGCTATACTACCAAAGTTTTCTTAGACGAAAATGGATGAATTTACATAAGAGACCTAGTACAATTTTGTTTCCTTACGGGTATTCGAAACGTTCTTTTGGACCATTTCTTTTTCAATATAACTTTGCTATTTTTTTTTAGATATTTCAATGAAATTTCGTATAATCAGGTTTGCCTGGCCCAAGATGAACATTTTTTTAGAGCTTGTAACTTTAAGAAGCAAAATTCTACTAATAAATAAGTTTATTTTCATCCAGGAAGTTAGGTATCTCTGAAGTAGCGATAATAGCAAGCGATAATTAATAAATTTCTGAAATGCAGAACTGTAGTGAATTTTTGACTACACGACTTCAATATTAAAACTTAATTGTTCAGAAATTCCCCACGGTTCTTATTTGAGGCCATAGATTTTCTGCGTTGACATTAATGACACTGTAAAGTTCAGCATCTAAACACCCATATAGTCTTACGTTCTACATTTTTTTAGTTCAGATATTACGGTTTTCGTCTCTTACCGAAAATAATTTTTAGAGTTCGAACTTCAGGTCTTCCTCTTTGCTCTTCTTTGCAATCTCCTGTTGCAGTTTGAGGTGGTCCTGCAGAATCAAGTCGTCGATTGTTGGACCTTCTTCGGCTTCTTGTTCGGGTATTGGTTCCTTGTTCAAAGCGGCGTATATTTCCGCTCTGTTTTCCAAAATTTCTCTGACAATATCTACAACAGGGGACATTTAAAATAATTTTATTATTAATCTATTTAATGACATAAGGCAAAGGATTATTGGAATAAATAGAATGAAACTGTATTATTTCTGATGACTATTGATTTAGAAATAAAAATGTAATTTGTTCCTAAGAGCTTACGCATCAAATATGTATGTTAGACCGATCAAAATAACTCATTTAGAGGGAAAAAAAATGTTACCTGGAAATGGTAAAGGGGCTTATGATAAACGAAAAAAAAAATAAAAGTTATGAAAAATTGTATCATTGGGATTTCTGGCGAAAGTTGACGTCAAACAGAAAAGTATCCAATACAAAAGTTGTAGATCATGCAAAAATCTACAACTTTTGTTTCCGAGAAAAATGCGAAAAACAGGTTTTTTTCTGATTTTTCGTTTTTATCTCATTTCCGCAAAAAGAATTTAATTTTGACGAAACTTGGTGAAAGTATACCTTTCTCTGTCTTAAATAACCTCAAATTTTTTTAGGTAAAAAAATCAAGAAGTTTCTGAGGTATTAATTTTTTTGGCCTGAAACACTTTTTTTTTCAAAGAAAAATTCTACTTAAAAAATCCGTACGGAATTCTGCCGGTAATAATTGTTTTCGTTTTGACATACTTTTTGGTGAAATAAAAAAAATTGTAATCACAGCTCAAAAACATGCTCAAAAATGCAACAAAGTAAAAAATGACTTGCAACAATGAATTTTTCAGTTATTGTTGATAATTTGTTTAAATTAAAAAACATTCAAAAACTGATTACACCATTCAATTCTATGGAAAAAAATAAAAAAAGGTCTCATTTTTTGACCCAAAACTGTTTTTATACAGTATTGCTATAAACATAAGTGGAATAGTGAATAAATAAAATAAATAATATTTTTTTTGTAGGATCGATTAGTGTAGATACTTATTTTTTTTAAAGTTTGATGAATTCATAGATATACAGTGTGTCCAAGATAAGGATGGGATAACATTAGCATCTAGGAAACGGTAAAAGATACGGGGTGGCTCAGATTAGAAAAAAAGTTGTGTTTTTTATACCTAACAATATGCCGTTTAGAAAGTTTTAAAATTCCGGGTAGTTCCGGAGATATCCGGAAAAACCTGAAATTTTGCAAAATTGTTTAATTTTTTCTGGCTTTATTTGAAAACGNTTCAGCTTGTAACCCCGCGACGCCCACATAATTGATTTTTAAGCATATTTAACGCTTCCGGGCACTCTACATGCTTTTTAATTTAAACAAATTATCGACAATAACTGAAAAAATCATTGTTGCAAGTCATTTTTTATTTTTTTTTGTATTTTTGAGGATGTTTTGAACTGTTATTACAGATTTTTTTATATCACCAAAATGTATATGTCAAAACGAAAAAAATTATTACCGGCAGAACTCTGTACGATGATTTTTTTAAGTAGAATTTTTCTTTGAAAAAAAGTATTTCAGGCCGAAAAAATGAATATCTCAGAAACTTCTTGATTTTTTTATCTAAAAAAATTTGAGGTTATTTAAGATAGAGAAAGGTATACATTCACCAAGTTTCGTCAAAATTAAATTATTTTTGCGGAAATGAGAAATAAAAAATGAAAAATCAGATAAAAACCGGTTTTTCGCATTTTTATCCAAGTGTAATTTGGTTGGACTGTGATGTAACAACGTTTTTTATTCCCATTTAGTGCGATATTACAGGAAAGTTATTACAAATAAAAGATGACACAAATTATATGACATGATTTATCCTTTTAACTACGAAAGTTTTATTTTGTTCTTTACCTGTGAGTACATCCCTACTGCTAACCATTTCTTGAAGTTCTTGCGTGACTTCCTTCATCAACCACGGCATGAATGACTCGTCGACATCTATATGAAAAATCCATATTTATTGGAAATGCTAGAGTGATTTCCTAAGTCTTAGAAACAGGAAGTGAGTTACAAAACATGAGGAAGCAAAAATATTAGTTTACATGTTTCATTAATGAAAATTATTTCCTTAATTTCTTTTTTATGTAGTTGCGTTGTAAAATGGAATGCGAGCGTTATGTAGGTACATTTACTACTGCGGAATATTTAGCATAAAACAATGTAAAAATATACAGGGTGTTGATAAATTTAAAGAGGAGATTTGAAGAGTAAATATACTCGGTGCGAAATCTAGAAATAAATTTGCGATACTTAGTAACCTTATTTCAGAGTTTAACTGACAAACGAGTGAGGGGATAAATCGGATATGTTGATGACGATTCCCGAGGTTCACAATTTTGATTATTATTAATTTTAATCATCGATTTGTTGCTACAATGGTTTTGTTTCTTGGAAATAACGTTTTTTATGTACCATTAAAAAACCCCCTCCAAATTTGTAAGATAACTCGTAGTTCTATTTTTATAAACAAAAGTCGTACCAATTATTTGGTAAATAACTGCATGGAGTTTATTTATCATTTCTTAGGTAGGTACCTTTCTTTATAGAGTCCACGAGGAATCCTTCTGATTCCAATCCCTCCAAAACGGACGGCAGCAAATTCGCCATATAGCCCTGCATCAGCACAGCAGCTGCTATCCTTTCCTCCATCTCCTTTTGCGTTTTAATACCCTCCTCCAACTCTGATATCCTTCTCTCCTTCTCCTTCACGAGCCGCTTCTCCCTCTCCTCCAATCGTAGAGCCTCGGCAGTTTCCGCAGCTCGGATCTCCAGGAATCGGCGTTGCTGTTCTCTGATAGCAGCCAATTCTTCCTCTTCCAGCACTTCTATGAGGGCTTGCTCAATGGTTTTGCCGACGAGGACTTCTAGGATCGGTTGCACTTCCGCATCGAAGTCGAAGAGCTAGAAGGGGGTGATAAGATTTAAGACAGCATTTTGTTAACGTGTAGATGGTCCAAGCACCAAGAGCTTTTTGAGTCAAACTAGGTGTATGTCTAGATTTAATGCGATACTACTTACTTCTCCAGGATAAATCTGAGTGGCCACGTCGGCGCCAATCTTGGCAGGCACATAGAATGGAGACACGGGTCTCTCAACGAACAAGTCGGTTTGCGTACACATGTCGATTACTGGGGGGTTCACGTAGATCTCCTCCAGGTACAGCTCGGTCTGCACCTTCTCGTGCTTTCTTCCGGGTATGGCGGGCGGTGAACCCAGACGCAGCTGAGTCGCCCGGATTTGCTGGTTCTTCGCCTTCCTCCTGGCCATTGCTCTGCGCTTCGCTTCGGCTGCTCTGGCGGCTGCGGATTCTCCGTCACCCTGTAGAAGATAACCGAATTAGTTGGTTGCATTGACTTTCCTGATGATGTTAATATGGTTATAGCTATGCGCGCATCTAGTGCAAAGCAATCGCTGAAAGTTTGGTACTTAAGATATTAAACACCATGTGAAGTGCAGATCATAGCACAGTAGCTTGATATTAAAAAAAAATCCAGATTTTGGGAAAATGTCTTTGCAATCAAATTGTTTGGTGTTCGGTTTGTAAAACAAAAATTGTGTGATGACCGGCAATTTGCAACACTTGCGGCAACACTTTGTTTATTGTGTGACAGTGTGTGAAGTATAACTATTTCATATGAAGCCGATATGTTATTAAAAAATTTAAGCAATTAAGTATATAGTGTCATAAAAAAAGTATGTCTATAGTACTTTGACTCGCTGAATTCGAAAAAAAAATCAGAAATATCTGATCAGATCTAGACACTCGTGTGGTATTTGAGATTCCAAACTAATTTGAGTATGCAATCAAGTCTGTGGTGACTGGTATAGTCTTTCCGAAGTCAGTTGAACATGTATAAAAACGCCTAGCAATAAAATTTAATGAGTTTCTTAGGCGTCACTAAAAAAGTTTTCTGCTAAAGGTAAAAAATAATAATAATTTGTAAACAGGATGTTTCTAAAATAGGGTTCCAAACTTCTGCTGCGTTTATAACTCATTAAAATAAGCCAAAAAGTTCCTATTAACATGTGCCCTAAAACGCACTCTTAGGAAGTTATAGGCCCTTAAAAGGACTCACCACTTTTACTAATTAAACACTGCAAAGCTCAATTGACAGTTTATCAATAACTTAAATTGTTAAGCGTTGTGGCAACGTCAGTCTTTTATTTGCCATGGTAAACAGATTTTTGTAATTTTTGGCCTAATAACTTAAAGAGCAGAGTAATTTTCAAACTCAATTTACTCGAAAACCATTGGAAATATCGATTTGGACAAAGATAATATTTTTTAGTAGAATTGTTAAGATTTTATAAATCTGTAGAGAAAATTGTAAAAAAATTGAAATAAAAAAAATTACGGGCCGAAAACCCCCTTCACCAACCTAAATGGACGCATATGATTTGCATGTCGAAAAACGGAGTAGCCCATGTTATTTAACGTAAAAAGTTATGTAAGACCCTTACATTTTTTTCTATTTATTTGCGACCGTTTTGTCAATAACAGAAAAAAAAAACAGTTTTGTTAAGCCCTTTTAAGGGCATATATCTTTCTAAGGGTGCGTTTTAGGGCACATGTTAATAGGAACTTTTTAGCTTATTTTAATGAGTTATAAACGCAGTAGAAGTTTGGAACCCTATTTTAGAAACACCCTGTATAATGTGTAGAAAATTTCTATTATATGTTCATTTGGCCAAAAACATTTACAAACATTTTTATTATATTGATGGTAAATTTTGGTTATGACATTATCAAAGAACATTTACATTTTCATTAAAATATATTACTGCTCGGCAAAAACCAACGGGAAGGTATGAACATATCCTTGCGGGAAAAGATGAGGAAAGTTTGTTAGTTTAGGTTAGAAAAGTTATTAAATAAAAATAATCAACAATAAAATAATTCTGCATTGCTGCTCTGCACTGCTAGACAATTTGTCAACAACTGAAATTTATGGCCCAGTCGCCCAGCGTGGCTGTGTTTGTGCGCCGTTTGACCGCGCGCGCATTCTTCAACGGGGCGTATATATTTCTACCACCTCCACGTATATGGATATGGCAAAATAAATATGGGAACAAGTTTTTCAAATATTTCAATCCCAAGTTGCTGCATAGCGACCGAAGCTGGTACATGCTGCGTAACTCTTTGATCCTCAATTGAGATCGGAAAGACTATAACAACAAATTCTAAAATATCTCGTAAACGGCTCGTTCGCGGTCGTATGTTTACTAAGACTTTTTTGCTTCTACTATCGTATACTTGCAGCTGTTTCAATTTGAGCTATTAATGTGATACATCCTGTATATTGTGATTTAATTTGCTGCTTAGATTACCTGTTGCAACCGAATTTTCTTTAACTGTGCTTTCAAATCAAATATTTCACTATTCCAGTTACAATATCAAATACAATTCTATTTTTTACCTAAAAAAATTCGGGCTTCATTTGAAACAGCCTTACATTTTGAAATCAAATTGCCATGTGATTCGTTGTAGATAAAGAAACAACAATTTATTATTACGTGGCAATCAAATGTGCTTTTAATTTTAAAGCCTGGCATTTTTATCTGATGTCCTAGTTTGTGGTGAGTAAGTATGAGTATTAAAACGCTGTGGAAAGCTTTTTTAAAGCAATATGGATAAGGTAAAACTGATTCAGTACGGATATCAGTCAGGTGTTACGAGTATTTCTAGGTGTGAAGTAGATACGTTCAATCAAGACAGTAGTAAATAAATTAATTAATAAAAAGTTATTTTATATTATATTACTCTTTTCTGTTATCCGTTGTTATTAGATTCTTAAAATATGTAAGGTTATGTTGTGTGAATTACAGAAAATGCCATGATTCAACGTACCTACTCATGGTCGAACATGTAAGTATGAATGCTGCGTTTTGTGATGGAAGATGTATGTAATAAAAGGTACGTATTACAATTACAGTATAAATTTCTCGTTAAAAAAAAGAACAAACAAACTTCACTAGGTAATAGAGCAAAGAACGAGCTGTCTCTCTGTGCTAATTTTATTCTAATCTTAATAAATTGAAATTAACTTACATCGCAAAATTTGATTGAATTGAATTTTTTTCTTAGAAATAGAAATTTAAATGGAATCATTAAAAGTGAAAAAAATATTGGTGTGTAATTTTTTTGGACCTTTTCCTTTATATACCTAATTGTAAATTTTGACGATATATATTTTTTAAACTAAAAATCCTATGTATTCTAATTATTCTCCATATCTCCGCTACTGTTAACGTATTTGTGTGTCTAACCTACATTTCAAAAATCATTAACTTAAGTTTCATCAATTTACGTGGAAGATTCTGAGAGATATTTAAAAATATTGTATGTACTTGAAACTTAGTTATAAGCTATAATTTAACGTCGTAAATGTATTTTACATGTTCTATATAGAAATATCTGTCACTCTGTTTTCTACATCTACATTTTTAAGGAGTATGCTATACCGAAACTACCAAAGATATTAATATACAAATCGGCACATTTCCTATTTATAAAGGAAAAAAAGAAAATGCATAGCTGGTGCGTGAATGATGCTCTACTCTGTACGTACCTCATCTCGAGAAAGAAGTTTGGCATACGCAAAATGAGGATTCCATTTAGGCTGTAGGCAACAGAAATTATAAATTTTCTCGTTAGGTAAATCAAGGAAAGCTGAACGTGTGGCTAAGAACAATTTGGAAATAAAAAATGAGCCGATTCGTTTTTAAAATGGTATATTGGTAAAAGATATGCTTGATCTGAAAATATAAAAGATGAGTAAAGCTAGATTACTTATCTATTTTTTTTAGCTAAACTTGAAACAACTGTCTAATCACTAAAGTGTGTGCTGAAGGGTGAGACAAATTTGTGTTCTGTTTAAAATTAATCGACAAAAAGTAATTTTCAGTAAATGGAACTTAGTTCCGATGAGATAACCTTTATTTCTGATGTTACCTTCCATCATCCTGAACCTCTCTATACAGTTGCAAAGAAGTTAATCCATTATTTCACCAATAACTTTTTTAGAATTTTTAATAAAAACGGAAAACTTTCTGTTATATTTTCAGACAAACGTTAAAGATAATTATAAAGTAATACTTACTTGTCCACATGTCGGGGGTGCAAAATTACTACCTCTGAATATTCTCTTTTCGAACATAAGATTTGCATACGGTACAGGAGCATCGCTAAAAAAGTCAAGAATGAAAATAGGACATATTTTTTCTTAATTCTATGGCGTGGATTGGTATTTTATCTGCAAACTTTTACACAAGACGACAGAGGCGAACAAAGAAAGTGACAATTTCGAGATTATTGGTATTCATCAATGAACATTGATAAGCACGGGTGATCGATGTATCTTGGGATATGGGTTTTTCTTGGAAATTATTGAAGATAATTCAATTCTGAAGACGGTGTTATATTTTAAATGGCTGTCATTCACATGAAAAAAAATGATTAAAAAATAGATATACATACAGGGTGTTTATTAAACACTTGTACAAACTTTAAAGGGTGAATCTTTGACTAATTTTAAGATAAAAGTTACAGATACAGATACCGAGCGTCCAAAACATTTTTTTGCTTGGTATTTTGATTATATTTCTGTTTAGTAACACGGCAATATGACGAAATTCGGGAAATTGGGATTATCGATGATAAGAAACTCAAATATTAGCCATAACTTTCTTGTGTTGCACTGTATGTCATTTTTGACTAAATACACCTATTCCCCATTCAATTTAACGTACAAAAGGTACTCTCAGTATTTGTCGCCGAAAGCAGTCGTTTTGTAAAAAACAGGTTTGAAGCTAAGTCGGCGATAGATTTTTATAAGTTGAATCATTAGTTTTTGAAAAAAAAATACGTGAAAAAATGTGTCTTTTATCGATTGTATTGCGATGTGCCAATCTTAGATCATTTACAAGACTAAGACTAAACTACTTCTACAAATAAGTTATTAACATATTTTTTTGACGCTCTCTACCTCAAGAACCAAGCCGTTGCCGACCCATGTTCATATGAACTTTTTATCTTAAAATTAGTCAAATATTCACCCTTTAAAGTCTGTACAAGTACTTATTAAGCAACCTGTATGTTTACATTGCCTAGTGGTTCTCTAGTAATTTTTTTCTCACGAATATCTCATTGTCGAAATGGGAAGAATTTTTACTTGCAATACTTTTTTCTATTTAGTGTTTTTTTAACAACTTCAACTATTTTCGAGATACTAACAGTTAGTTGAAAATCACTTTTCTGAAATTATCGTTCTCACTATATGAAAAACTCGACTATTTTGATCTGACCTGCTATGGATTGTGTCAACAAATGTTACCTCGACGCTGAATACCTACTTGTACAAAAAATGTATCGTGCCGTTAACCAAGACGCTATTTAAGTTCAACGAAAGCTGAATACTATTTTTTTTTTGTCAATTTACCATCACGCAAAGCCACCTCATATTCCGCAACACCTTATCTAGCTGTCATCTTAATTGTTTTTTTGCACTTTTGCTTTTAATTCGTCGCTAATGTTCGAAATTATAATAATGAGATGTTATCGAAGGTGACTCCAATAACAGTCAGAGTCGCTTATTTCGAATTCTGCACGAACGATTTAATAATAAATCTGTTTGTTACAAAGGGTTGGAAGTGAAACAATCCCAATGTCAAGGTCGATCCAGTTGGGCGAAAGTGCTCAGAGACAATGGTAATAATTTATGCCCTACACGCGACTGGGTTCTAAGTTTTGTGCTTCTTTGATTCACGAGGAAACAATCACGGTAATTTGAGGAAAATTTCGGAATTTTCTTTTGTCGCGGTCCGTTATATGGCGATAAGATGAAAGAAACATTGTTTTTGTACTGTATCTAACATATAGTTAACTAGAAAATTGATAAATTATATATCAAGGTTCCAGTCTCGTATTCTTGTGACACTAAAAAGTATGTTTAAATCAATATCCATAGAAGTCCTGGCTCCTTCGCCATATTTTAAAATTTACAGAAAAAATTTAGGTGCAATGTTTTCATTTAAATTTGGAATTTCTATACAGCAGTTTTTGGACTTTTCTCGTACTATTCTCTGAAGTCTTCAACTTGTACCACTACGTATTTTTACATTCATTTAATTACTCCCAGTTATAGGTGAATAAATACTGAGCAAAACAAAAATATGTGTACATAACAATACCATTACGACGACAAAAAAGAAAAATAACAAAAATGAAAAAAAATGTTAAAAAATGCAGTTGTAAGTGAATAGAAAACAGCACAACAACAATATCTGTATACATAGACAATAAAAGTCGTGAAAAATGAATAAAATGCAGAAGAGCTCAGCTATGGAAGTAGAATAATCGTTTACTGTTTGGTAAAGAAAAATTGAATGTCTTATAATACTAGATCTAGCATTTGGTCTAGGAATGCTATAATTAATGTGCGATGTAAGCATAATGTGACATACAATTTTATATAAGAACATTACAGAGAACATTCTAACCATCAGCATGCAGCAAGAAGTAGACTTTAAAAGAATAAAAATACATTTGGTCAAGTATCGAACCCTGTGTCACGTTTTATGTTTTATTAAATATATGAAATTTTCAACCACGGATTGTACAATTTGAACGAGATGCGAAAAATATAATAGAAATCCGCCAAAATTGCCACCACATCTACCTAACTTCCGACTACTCATCAGTTTGGAGACAGTAGATTTACCAGGTAAAAAGCCATGCTACTAAGCTTTTTATGGAAATAAAATATATTTGCAGATAACAAACATTATAGAATAGAAGTTTACCAACGGTTTACGTGATGTTAATAATATACGGCGAATTAAAAAAGTGGTACTTGATAGGGTTTGTAAAAATTTTAGTAACGTTCCCAGTATGGTAGATTTCGACATAATTTTTGATACAGCTTGAGATCATAAGAACTGCAAACTTCTAGAGTTAAAAAAATCAATATATTACACCAATTACTCCTTTTTGTTCCATATTGTGTAAAATTAAATTATCTCTACCTGTATAGAATTGTCAGGATGAAATTTATAACTTTCTGAAATATTTGTAATTTTCAAGAAGATTTTTTAAATATTATCAAATTTTCGACTAATGTAAAAAAACAATTAAAAGAAAATTAAGGAATTCAATACTGTTACTATAAAAATACTCGTCTAGCAACATATGATAGTCTCTAGAACATCGGGAGAGGGCCCAAAACCGTCAATTTCTCTCCAAAAAAGGCACCAGTGATAAACAGTTAATTTTCCTTAAAATATTATGTCGAATTTGGAAACATTTTAATATTTTCGTTCTCAATTTTATCAGTAATATGAGTTATTTGGAATTTGTTTCCAGTCACGAAAAACTAAAAGGATGAATGCTTTAACAACAAAAGTCCCTGACAACTATTTTGGTTCCAATAATATATAACATTACGACTAGAGTGAGCAAATTTCAACGTTCCACTCAAAAAGTTGAAGTCGATCTCGCTTTGAAATTAAGTTGTTTATTTTAACATGTCTTAAAAGGTTGTTTTGGAAAAGCCTAAAAATTTTGCATATTTTTTTTCTAATTCTTATAATAAAACTTCTACCTAGGTGTCAAAATATAAATGAAAATCCTGTACAGGCTGGTCCATTTTCGATGAGATTTCAGGGTATCTCAGAAACTACTAAAGATATGATAAATCTGACACCACGTTTTCGAGCTCGATTTTCATGGCAAACTCAACTGTCAAATCAGAAATTTGCCATCTTTATTTGTTTCTGAGTTACAGGGCGTTTCTCGTTATTGTGACACTTTTGAACATGTCTGTATCTCAGCTGTTAAATAAGTTAGAGTTAAAGTAAAAACTGCTCAAGACTAATTCTTTGGCGTAGAATTGAATGCCGGTATTAGATTTTTAGTAGATCTTAAGATTTCGGAGTTATGACCCAAAGTTATATTTTTTTAAATGGAAATCGTAGCTGACCATGGCCTAAAAAAATAGAGATTTTTTTCCGCTTTTCAGCAATATATCACATGCTATAGTTATTTTTACAAACACGGGAGATACGGGGTGTTTCATATATAAATTATATTTTTTTTCCTTTTTAATATGACCGGCTATGAAAATACAGATAAAACTATAATTCTTACTTTTACAAAAGTCATATCTGTTGTAAAAATATGACATTTATTTTAAATGCACAACATATACTCGTGTGATAATATAATACTAACGAAATTTTAGGAGATAGGTGGATAGGAACAAACGGACCGATCAGATGGCCAGCTAGGTTACCTGATTTGAGTCCGTTGGACTTTTTCCTTTGAGGTTTTCTAAAAGACATTATATTTAAAATTCCTTTTAATAATATTTCAAATACCTATACATTTAATGAATGCTACCCGAAGCGTTGTCAGAAGATGCGTGAAATGTGTGACAGTTGAGGGACGGCAATTTGAACATTTAGCTATAATTTTTGAAAGTTTTTATTGATGTAGGTACTTACTATTGTTTAATTTACGATTAATATTGTAACTTCAGTTGAAGTGGAATAAAACTTTGAAAACTCCGTCTTTTCTTATCTGTAATATATATTTTAAATAAACGTCATATTTTTACAACAGATATGAGTTTTGTAAAAGTAAGAATCATAGTTTTGTATGTATTTTCATAGCCAGCCATATTAAAATGTAAAAAAGGATCGAATTTATATATAAAACACCCCGTTTCTTCTGTGTTTGGAAAAATAACTATAGCATGTGGTATATTGCTGAAAAGCAAACAAAAATCTCCATTTTTTTAGGTCACGATTTCCATTTAAAAAATTGTAACATTGGGTCATAACTCCGGAATTTTAAGATCTACTAAAAATCTAATACCGGCATTCAATTCTACGCCAAAGAATTAGTCTTGAGCAGTTTTCACTTTAACTCTAATTTATTTAACAACTGAGATATAGACATGTTCAAAAGTGTCACAATAACGAGAAACGCCCTGTAACTCAGAAACAAATGAAGATAGCAAATTTCTGATTTGACAGTTGAGTTTGCTATGAAAATCGAGCTCGAAAACGTGGTGTCAGATTTATTATATCTTTAGTAGTTTCTGAGATACCCTGAAATCCCATCGAAAATATACCAGCCTGTACATCTACAAATTTTGCCAGGTATCTTCTGTTTCGAGGATCAATAG